GAGGAAGTAATGAGGGGGTAGTTGGGAGCTGAAGTAGAAGAGGAAATCAAGGTTGTGCCAACCCATAAGAAGCAATCAGAAGAACCTGACACAGATTGGAGTGGATGACTGAAACCACCCTCAGAGAGAGCTGGATAGGAGGGTAGGCATAAAGGTGCCAGTTGGTCCAGTCCTGACTAAGAGCATTCACTGCCAGGCCCTGTAGATGAGCAACCAGAGACCAAAAAAGAGGTAACTTGGTGTAGAGGGAAGTGGCAAAAGAATCCAGATAATGAGCACCCAACTGATAGCAAAGCCATCGAAAAACCTGAGGGTAGAAGGACCACTCTGTGAGGTAAATATGATCAAGTCAAAAAAGGCAATCTGCCACGAGGTTGAAAGCACCCAGAATATGACATGCTATGAGACATCCTGAAGCGTGTGGGCCCAATAAAGCAGTTCCAATGTTGAGTCACAAAGGGAATGAGGACAGCTGCCTCTTTGGTGATTGATATAAGACAACTGTGGAATTGCCTGAATGGAACATAAGTCTGTTCCATACAATAGGAAGAAAATAATCCAAAGCATGTTATACAGGCAGAAGCTCCAAGATGTGGATATGGTATGATATTTCTATCTGAGACCATAGTCCAGAACCCGCTGGCTAATCGATTCATGCACTCTACCCCAAAAAAGAAGCAAGGGTGAACAGATGCAAATCTGGACAAGGGGGAGGAAGTGGTACTCCTGTCATAGTGTTATTCTTGTTCAACCACTAATGGAGATCGTCAAGAAAGGAATGAGGAAGAGTAATTGGAGAGTCCAATGGATCCCATGCAATGTCTACTGAATATAATGCATAGGTGCACAACCCAAGTGCTTATGGTCATCCATGGAAGATCAAGTCTCCAAAAGCAATAGAACCTCATGTGCAAAAAGAGAGGGAGAAGAAAGAGTATGGAGAACTGAAAGCTCTATCAAACACAAGCAAAATGGAGAAGGTTGGGCCCAACTGATGCAAGTGTTCAAAAATACACCCAGGTAGACAAGATATTGGGTAGGAATCAGACAAAACTGCTCCATCTTGAGAATCTAATCAACACGAGTTACTTCTGTCAATAGCAGATGAGTATGTTGAGAAGCCACTATTTTGTAAGGAGCTAGCAGAAGCCAGTTATCCATGTAAAGGTGGAAGCACAACCCTTGAACATGCATAAGTCAGGCAAGGACTTTGAACACTCAACAAAACATGGAGCTAAAGCAAGCCAGAAAGGTAAAGTGTGAAATTGGATAGTTACTGGAACTATTGGTAGTAAAGATTACATCTGTGAGTCAAATGATGGAACGACGAACCCTAGGGGTAACGAACAGGAAAAGGCTGGGATGATGATGGATGGAAAACAGGTATAGATTAAGTTACAGATTATGCTGAGATAAACGAGCAGCCAAGGAAGAAAGGGTAGAGTGTTGCCTCACGAATTCCATACATATCTCCAAAACGAGACATTAAAAATGTTTCACGAGGCACGCATGCAAGTAGCTCATGGGTAATGTAATTCGATAGCGTAACGTGAGCTGCATGTTCCTCAAATGATTTACAACTTATAATAGCGCTAACAGTAGTTAGACAAGGCTCAAAGAGCAATAAAACAATAAAATGTAATGATAAATAAACGTATAATGTTACGAGCTTAAAGCTACTTAGGATAAATGAATGTAGTTTCATGTTACAATTTGAAGTCATTCTAGAAAGAAAAAAGAGGGTAATTTAGATTTATTTCAATTTTTTTGGTGGTTATGAAGTTGGTCAAATTGACAGATCACATATGGAGATAGGGTAGAGAAAATAACAGATAATCTATAAAGTTTTAGTGAAAAAAAACGTTTGAAATGTTTTTAGGAGGTTTTAGGGATTACATAAAGAAAATTTGAGATTTTTGAAATGAAGAAAGTATTTTTAATTTTAACATGAAAATTACTTTGCACATGGACTATTCAAAACAAATACTCAACATTTTCATGGACAAATCTTTATTTTAGTTTATCAAAAATACTTCACTAAAAAAATTTTATTTTTTGTAACTAACAAACTCATCAATTTTATTGCTGGTACACTGAAACCCTTCTCAGCGGTGGAGTCAAAAGATTTTCAAGAACTAGTGGCAGCCATGGATTTTTGGTATATTCTTCCCAGTTGCAAGCATCTGTCCACAATGTTGATTGAGACCAGGTTTGATGAAATCTAACAAAAAGTCATTTCTCTACTGCAACTTGTACTCAGAATCAATGTAGATATCTGGAGTAGTAGAAAAATGCACAGCTTTCTTGGAGGCACTGGTCATTTTATACTTGACTGGAAATTGCAAACATTCATGCTGGCATGTCAGCATTTCAAAGGGCATCACACATCTGATAACACTGCAGTTCAATATGATGAAATAATAAATCTCTTTAACATCAATAACAAAGAGTCATGTATGACCTCTGATAATGCATCCAACATGATCAAGGTTTTCTGCTTGCCTGGATTTGAACCACAAACACTACCTAGTGTGAGAGATGATAATTGCTTATGTACATGTAGTGACTCAGAAGATGAAAATTTGGATGAATCTAAATCAGTACACAATTTATTCAAATTTCTTCCTGAACATAACCCCTGCTTCTCTCACAAGCTACAGCTTGTGGTCAGGGATGGCAGGGAAAAAGCTAGACCACTGCTGAAAGTAATTTCCAAAGCATCAGTCATTATGTCTTACACTCGAAAATCAATGTAAGCAACTGATCTACTTGAGGGAGAGGCCAGAGTTCAGTTGGTAACATCAACACATTCGAACTCAGAAATTAAGATGATTAAGTTTTGAAGATTCCCCAGGAGAAGTTGGATAATCTAGATACTGGTACATTGAAACTTACTTTTCATGATCGAACTGTGCTTGTAGATTTGGAGACAATACTGACACTTTCTGAAGAGGCAACAGATTTCCCCCAGGGTCAGAACATTGTTATGTAGTGCTATGTGTTTATGGGCTGACGAATGAGATTGTCAGCATGCAGTCTAGATACGATTTTAATCTTGACTCTACACTGAAGAAATCTGTTCACGCCTGGCTGATTCAGTATGAGCAACAAAGTGTCTTCTGCTCGGCTGTGGCATTGGATTCCAGATTTAAACTTGACTGGTGTTTCACTAGACCTATAGTCAATGAATCTAATCAAATGCTCCTGCAGGAAGAAGTCAAGAAAATTTCCTCAACAAATAATCCTACAAACATGGAACCAAAAGAGGACTGTAATTCTCTCCCCTCCCACATACACACACCTTGCAAAAGAAGTAAACTCTTTAGTTTCTTTGCTGCTTCCAAGAAATCAGCCACCTCATCTTCAAAGTATACAGAAATTAACACCTACCTCGATTGTCCTTGCATTCCTGAAGAAATCAACCCTCTAGATTATTAGAAGGTCTATGAAAAAACTTTCCTACCTTATCTCTACTAGCCAAATGCTACCTGAGTGTTCCAGCATGCTCTGCCCACATTGAGCATTTGTTTAGCAACAGAGGCAAAAACCTCAAACCTAATCGCTTCTGCTTCACTAATAAGACATTTGAGAGATAGATGTTCACAAAGAACAATGGACAGTCACAGTATCTAAAAGTCTCCTTTAAAAATATATTTTTGTTCTAAAACTTTGTTAGTGCATTTTGAAATATAAAATTATTGAAATGTTATTATTTGTTCAAATTTTGTTTCAGTTTCTAAAAAGTTTTTTCATAAAAGTGTTGGAATCTTATTGTCTGCTGTTTTATCATTATTTCATATTATCTGACAAAGTATTGACAAATACATTCCTATGCATTCGTAATTGAATACTTAGCATTTTTCCTATATTCATAAAAATATGAAGTATTCGTATTCGATTACTGATCTCCAACATTTGCCCTACCCTTGTTACTGACATTCATTTCCATATATAGCTACTACTTGAGTTTATATGTACCTGTCCTTCCAGGATACACGTGCAATACCACAAAAATATCATGTTTCACATAATGTTGCCCACAACTGCCTAACAATCCACTCATTAGATAACGAAATACCAAATTATACCATTAAAATAACTTCCATAGCTAAAATTACAATGACAAGACATAAACAGTAAAGTTAACATTTTCCTTACCTAAAAATGTATTTCCAATAGATACTCACCCCTGCAGAGAACAGATAGCTAATACTTCATGCCACTACTAAAATGTTTTCACATATGGTACTCATGCGAAAACTTTTTTTACAAGGTATTAGCTATATGTTCTGTTCTGTGAAGATGAGAGTAACATTTCTGAATAATAGTAACAGATCATAGCTTTTGACAATTATTGACGGTAAGTATGAAATGTTTCCGATAATACTTATCTTTCATTTAGAGTCAGAATAATTAAAAGTTACTTTGGATTTTCACCTTTTATGTACCAATAAACAAATAATTTTAGCATATTACTTCAATCACTTGATTAACACAATAATTACTGATCTTAAATATCCTAACATGCACATATTTTTCATAATGAAATAACATTTGAGATTCTTAAACATTATTGGAATAATTATAATATGATCATGTGAACATACTAATTAAGTTCATCTGGACACTTTGTCCCAGACAAAAGAAACTGATTTATGAACCACCTTTAAAAAAAAAGTCATTTTATGAAATTACATCATGAAAATATTGTAACTAGCAAAAAAAATTTTTTTGTTCATTCAGAAATTATATGAGACTTTTAATACATACATATATTTTTATATGGGCAGAGAGTATGTGAAAAAAAACAACTAAACAGATCAAAAGTGTAACATTGACAATTCCATTACAAGATGGGCACACTAAAAACTTTTCATGAAAAACTAATTACCTACACATTACTTCCATGAATCCATATATTTTAGTACTGCAGTTATCAATTTACTAAAGAGAAATAATCTTAATTCAGTCCAAAACTAGATAACAGGATCAATACTTACGACTTTCTTCGTAAATCATTCATGATTCATTCAATCAGCTCTCTACCAGTTTTGTCCATCAAAATACTAAGAATTTTTATGAAGTCCCACAAGACCAGATTCTGGATTATCTAGACTTAACAGATACCAAAACAAGTTAACATGGAACAATAAAATTTGTTTTTGCATGTACATAATTTACATATGTATTGTCTACTTGATGGAAAGCAAAGGTTGATGACATATGCATAACAAAATTTTCCAATTGGGAGAACATGACTAATGTGATTATTGAGGGACCATATTTATCATTTATTTCAAGTAATAGTAATATTAGTTAGGTGAGCTAGTTAGCACCTTGGCATGAAGTAGAATATGACATTAGTATGTATACGACATGTTGATGGCAAAATTTCATAAATTTTAAAGGGACAAAAGGGAGTTTATTAGCCCATCACAGACGTCCTTTCCAGTTCCCAACTATAACCACTTCTTACTACTCATGTATTAATCCAATCTTTTCTTGAACTCAGTTAAATTTTCTGCCTCCACCACCCTTGAAGGCAGCTCATTCCAAAAGCCAACCACCCTGTTTGAAAAGTAATACTGTCTCAACTACAGATGATTCCTATGCTGCCAAAATTTGAATTTATGCCCTCTTGTGCTATTGTTTTCACTGCTACATGCAAAAAGTTTGATGATCTATATTATCCATACCCTCAATACTCTTAAACACCTCAATCAAATCCCCTCTGACTCTTCTCCAGAGAAAACAAGTTTAGAGATTTTAGTCTCTCCTCACAGGACAATCCCAACATCCCAGATATCATCCTAGTGGCTCTTCTCTGAACCTTCTCCAACAATTCAATGTCCTTCTTGAGGAAGGGACCCCAAAACTGTACACAGTACTCTAAATGAGGCCTCACAAGTGATTTATGCAGTGAAACAATAATATCCCTTGTCTTGTATTCAACATTTCTATAGATGCTACCCAAAATCCTAACTGGCTAACTGTATCAAGGATGCTGCAGACTTACAGGGAGATCATTTGATGCATTTAACCAACCCCAAAATCATAATGTAATCTGCAAACTTCAAAATTCTGTTAGTCATTCTACAGTCAATATCATTAATATAAATCACAAACAACAGAGGACCCAGCACTTGTAACTGTGATCCAGTCAGATCTAACTCCATTTATTACTACTCTCTGCTTTCTACTCTCCAGCCAATTTTCTATCCAATTTATAGCATTTTCCCCACACCCAAAAACTTAATTTTGCAAGAAGTCTTTTGTGAGGCACCTTATCAAATGCTTTCTGAAAACCAAGGTAAAACAAATCAACAGTATTTCCTTCATCAACTCTTGCAGTAACATCCTCAAAGAATGTCAGAAGAGTTGTTAAACAAGACCTTCCCTTAGTGAATCATGCTGGCTCTTTGACACAATATCAAACTGCTTTAAATGGCTCTGCAATGCATCTTTAATCACACTCTCCAAAACCTTTCCAACTACTGAAGTAAAATTAACTTGCCTATAATTGCCTGGACAATGTTTATTACCTACTTTAAAAACTGGACTAACATTAATCAACTTCAATCTTCTAGTATTTTTCCACAAATCAAGACATATAAAATATAATACCTAACAGTTCACAAATGAAATCTTAAAAAAAAAAGTTCCTTTAAAACTGTATGATAAAAGTTGTCTGGTCCAGGAGAGTTATCAATTTGAGGTTTTCCAACTTTTCTTTTACAATTTCAGAACCTAAAATTATATCTTTTACATCAATATTTTTCCCATACATCAAGCGCTCTTTGCAAAAATTGAAGAGAACATATAATTTAATAAGTTTACCATCTGATAATCTTTCAAGATCAGCTTCCAACTATCATTTTTAAGAGGCCCCATCCTAGCATTTTGCTTACCCATCATATACCTAAAGAATTCCTTATTATTTAACTTTCCCAGCCAACCCTCTTTCATATATAGTTTTGGCCCTTTTAACTTCCTTTTTAACAAGCTCTCTTGATTTCCTATAGTCCCCCAAGTCCTTATTATTTACAGTAAGTTTAAATTTCTTGAATTTATTATGTTTATCCCTAATATGATTTCTTAAACCTTTACTAAGCCATACTGGCTTATTCCACTCCATTGCCTTTTTTTTCTGTAGGGAATATGTATGTTCTGTATGCATATACTTTTTCCCTAAATGCTT